GGACACGACTGGACTAAATGTCAAGGGGGAACCCTTTACCTTTTATTCCCCATCTGGCCCAGTATTCTCTCCTTTTCACTGAAAATACCCACCTTCAAGGCAGGACTTTCAGCATGCTAATTATGTAGCCTGCCATTGAGCTCCTGAATAAAGTTTACAGCGAGGGCCATCTTCCTGCTGCTTGGCACAGTAAAGGGCGCTAGAGTAGGCCCCCTGAATCAATGGGGATTTGGTAAGTCAACTCTTCCATACGTTCCATGGATTCAAATGGACCTACTCTAACTGCAACGTACTTCAGCATAGGAAGTCACAGCCAGAGTAGGCCCCTTTGAATCCATACAATGTATGGAGGCGTTGACTCACTACATCCCATTGGTTCAATGGGTCTACTCTAGGACCATAGGAAGCAACAGGACTTGGGCTGCTGTGAGGTAACATCCTGTACTTGCCTGTTTCTAAAACCTGTTCCATGTTGTTCTGCTGAGAAAAGCATGTGCAGCCAGCACAGATTGCTCTCTAAACACATCATCCGAATGGAGACAAATGGTCTTGGATTACCCAAGGCGGGGTCAGCTCTTCATTTACTCCCTGGCATATCTGGAATATTTTCCTTCGGACCTTTGCTAATCTGTCCACTCATTTCTTGTTTTTCACGGCTTTGCTTGCAGTTATTGGCTTAGTGGAACATCTTCAGAATATCCTAGCAAACCGTTTCATTCCGATGAATGTGCGTATGTGGTACGTGCCATAGGAGAGAAGGGCTTATAAAGGAAGACAGTGTCTCCCTCAAATAAGACCTTTTCCTCACACACACCTCAACCTTGTTTAATTTTATTCTGCGTTTCTCATATCCTACACTCAACTGACTCACCTCACCCCACCCTGCGTGATATAGTTTGTGAAAGCTGGACAGGAAAAAAAGCTGATGGTGGGGCGGGGTCGATTTATTTGAAATGTGGTGCTAAAAGAGAGCTTTGTGGATGCCCTGTACGGCCACAAAGACAAAGAAGTGGGTCCTAAAGCAAAATCGAGTCTGAAATGTCTCTGGAGGCCATGATGTTGACACTGAAGCTGTCCTACTTTGAGCCCATCATGAGAAGGCAGGGTTCTATGGAAAAAGACAATAATGTTGGGAAAGGTTGAAGGCAGCAGGAAAAGAAGACCAACTATGAGATGGATTGAGTCCCTGTGAGACCCGAGGCGAGGCAATAGAAGTCCTCGCCGGAGTGTCGTCCTCAGTTAAGAGAGAACAAGAGACACAGACAGCATCTCCGACTTCACGTGTCGCGGTCAGACACCAGGGGGTAGACACAGGAGGCTTGGAACGGCGGCTACAGAGGATGTCTGTGGCTACACAGACCCTGACAGAAAAGGCGGGAACCCGGGTAGCAGCGAGACCGTTAATAGAGGCGGGGCATGGGGGGGGGAAAGACGAGGGAGACAAGATACGGGGGGGGGGACGTTTGAGGGAGGAAAAAGAGAGAGTGGAGAAGGAAGAAAGAGATAGGAGGGCATGGCGACTGGAGGACGCTCGCTGGAGGAGGTGTTTACAGGACCATGGGACCCCTATGCTGAGGGAAGCGACCCCTTCGACTTGGAGAGGGGAGATGAAGAGACATTACCTTTGATTGAGGTGGACGTTGAAGGGAAGGTACCGGGTGAAGGTAACCCATTTACCAAAGGACCTTGGTACGATCCTAGTTTCAATCCCTTTTTACAAGAAGCATGGACACCCTCGTTTGACCCGTTGGCGACGAGAGAAAAGACTAATGACAAATTTAATGTCGATGCCTCTTTATTTGATGTTCCAATAAACCCCAGTTCTGTTTTCCAAGATCAAGAGACTCCCGTGTTTGTGTCTGGTAAGCCTGAGGTAACTACTGAACCCTCACACTCCCTAAAGGAATCTATTGGGTTGAGTTTACCAGAGATAATTAGGGCAGTTGAGGACATTTTGGAGATCGCTCATCCATAGGGTCATGGTAAGTTGGGAATGACTTGACAGCACATAACAACTTATAGAGTGCAGAGGAGAGAGTTGTGTGTATCACATGAGGGGGACCAGATAAGCAGCTTCACATTTCCTGAGATTTCAGGGCCCAGATTGAGATCAGGGGGCAGGTCTTCTGATGACACAGTCCTTGTGATGTCATAGGGTAGATCCTTATGATGTCACAAAAACAGGTAATAATTAGGGATGAAACTAAGGACATGAGCCCAGCACTATCTGCATAGAGACAGACGCTGCCCACAGAGTTGGGCCCCAAGCCTTTAAGAGCATTTAAGCCTGGACGTGGTTGAGTGAATCTGTCAGTTCTCCACACACCAAGCCCAAATTCTTTCCATCCTTAATATGAGTAAGTTGGCAACAGTTGGTAAATTCTTGTGGAAAACAAATTGTAATGAAATCCTCACCCATCTCTGTCCAGAACAGATGGAACCTCATCTCCCAGTCTATGAGGGAGAAATTTATTTTCTTGAACCTCCCAGCGTATCTCTGCCACTATGCTCAGTGGTATTCCGGGCACCGTCATTCAGAAAAGTAACTTTTCTCATCTCTGCTGCCAGGTTAGCCTCTCAGAGAGATGTACGGGTTTGTCCAGGCTGAGTTTCAATTTAACGGCCCTGGTTCAAAAATGACTGAACCCAGACACCCAGATTCATTAGCCCCTCCACAGCTTCAACTGAATCCAAAGAAATGGAGGACAGAGTTGGTTGGGTCAGCAACTCTAGCGATGACAGCTCACTTCAAACCTTCTGAAGACCTCAGTCAGGGGTTTTGTGAGGATATTCAATATCATGACACTGGATAATTGTCGGAAAGTTAAGAAACAGCCATTGAGCATGACCCTCTGGAAGTCCCAAACCTACTGGGTCACAAAATCTTCCCCCATGTCGCATCCTGGATAGCATTTCGACCCATAGTCCAGCATCCCACAAACCAGGAGCTTCTGGAGATGTTCATCTACAACTGCGATCACTTCCAATCATCATCTGAGAAGTGTAAAGCTGGAAGAGACCCTTTGGGTCACTGAGTCCAGCCCCTATCAAGAAGGTGGAGAATCGGATTTCCAACCACTAGCTCTGCAGCCAGATGCCTAAACCATTGAGCTGTCCAGCTGTTCAAGCTTGATTTTGGTCTAGGACCCACTTGTTCATCTTACTGGCAGTCCAGGGAATCCGCAAAATTCTCCTCCAACACCCTATTTCAAATAAATCGATTTTTCCCCTGCCAGCTTTCTTCCCTCTCCAGCTTTCACACCCATACATGGAGATCGAAAATGCAAGAGTCGGGCATGACTTAACAACTAAACAACAACATACAAAATCTTTCACTATTTCAATTTATTCATTGTCAACATTAAAGCTGTGTAGTTGTTCTGTAGTCATGATTTTGTGCAGTCCTGCTTTGGCACCTTTTTTTTCATGTTTACTAAAAGTGGTTTCAAGTCATTGCTGCTTTCCGCTATCAAGATGTTATCATCTGTGCATCCTAAGTTATTGATGTTTCTTCCATCAAATTTTACTCCTTCATCTGAATCTAGTCCAGCTTTCCGTATGATATGTCCTGTGTACACATTGAACAGATCAGGAGATAAAATATACCCTTGTTTGACTCCTTTGCGTCTGGGAAACAATTCTGTCTTTTCTGTTCTAACAGTAGCTTCTTGTCCACCCTACAGGTCACACAGCAGGACATTCAAGCACTGAGACACACTCATCTCTTACAGAAAAACCCATTATTTCTCATGATCTACACAGTCAAAGGCTTTGCTGTAGTTTATAAAGCATAGGCTGATCTTTTCTGAAATTCTTTGTGGCACTCCCATTGTCAACAGATATTTGCAATATGATCTTTAATGCCTCTTCCTTTTTCAGAATCCAGCTTGGTCATCAGGCATTTCCGACTCCATAGAAAGTAAAATCCTTTGTTGTAACACCTTGAGCATTGTTTTGCTTGCATAGGAAATACAAGCAATTGTCCTGTTGTTATTGCACTCTTTGGCATCTCCTTTCTTGGAGAGGTATCTTGAATTTTTCCGTTCGAGGGGGGGCACTGTTTTGTTTTCTTTTATCGTTGGCATATTCTTGTTTGGATTTTGACAGATCAGGTCTCTGTGGCTCGAAATAGTTTTATTGGTATTTCATCTACTCTTGGTGATTTATTTCTTCCTAGTGCTTTCAGAGCAGCTTTCACTTCACTTTGTAGAACTGCAGGTCCTTTATCATAGGATTCCTATTCAAAGGAGTCATCCTTTTATCTCTCCTGTATAGGTCTTCAGTATACTGTTTCCACCTTTTCTTTATTTTCTCCTGGTCATTCAGCGTTCCTAATCTTGGCTTAAATTTCCCTTTAATTTCTTAGATCTTTGGGAAGATATCTTTTATTTTTCCTCTTTTGTTCTTCTCCTCTCTTTCTTTGCACTGGTTACTCTAAGAATTCTCTTTGCCTCTACATGACAGTTATTGGAAAACTGCATTCAGGGTTCTGACCCTATTTCTGTCACCTTTTACTTTTGTTTCTTGCCTGTCCTTGATAATTTTATACAGTGGTGCCTCACATAACGGGCGCCCTGTTTAGCGACGAATCCGCATGGTGACGATGTTTTTGTGATCGCTTTTGCGATCGCATAACAATGTTTCCAATGCGGGAAAATCGCTTTGTGACGATCGGTAAGCTGTTTTGCTTACCAATTTTCACATAGCAATGATTTTTTTCCCAGCTGATCGGTGGTTCCAAAATGTCCGCCGGGTAAAACAGGGACGGATTCCTTGCTTACTGGGCAGCTAAAATGTCCACCGTATGGAGGATTTTCGCTTAAAAGGTAGGTTTTAAGCCCATAAGAACACGTTGAAGGGGTTTCAATGCATTCCTATGGGCTTTTTTATTTCGCATAGTGACGAATCCGTATAGCGACGATTTTTGCTGCACGGATTATCGTCGCTATGCGAGGCACCACTGTATGTTGATTTCATCATCCATGTAGGGTTTTCTCTTCATTTTCAATCTTAGCACCACAGCAAAGCTTAACATATTTTCACCTCTAATAAAATCTGCATTTGCAGCCACTCATTATGGAATATCCATTAAAAACATGGTATAATAGCAATCAAAATAATTGCTATAAAAATACATTGATTTTTTTAAGTTTCCTTGCTCTCTCTCTCTCTCTCTCTCTCTCTCTCTCTCTCTCTCTCTCACACACACACACACACACACACACACACACACACACATGCAAAAGTGCCTTTTGCTTTCTCACTAATGCGTACAAATCTACAACAACCTATGTTTCCACGCTATGATTTAATTTATCTTTGATCTTGACATCAAAGTGTCAAGTGGTCCAGGGATCCAGGCTGAGAGAGGAAAACCGACACATTACCAGGTGTTCGTTACAGGAGGCGAAAGCTAGGAAGGAAATGGCTGTTGTGGGTTTTTCGGGCTCCTAGGAAGGAAAGTTGAGTTGGCAGAAGAGGAAGGAAGATCCTGGCTAAGATGAAGAACTTTAGAGGCAACCAGTTGAGGAAGACCCAAATTGGGGTTGAATTAAGGGAGAGAAGGAAAACCAAATGCTGTTGGGCTCAGCCCCATCATCTTGGATGAAACCTCTCCTCCAAGCAGAGTTTAGAGAAGGTACTTCTGTGACATCTTTCACAATACTAGGAGGTATGGTCCATAAATGCTAACCTTTCCAACCTTTAGAAGTGTCATCCGCCCACACCATTTCCTGATGCATTTTTCCCTATAGGCAAGGCTGGTGAATATTTAAGCTCAATCCACACTAAACCTGAAGCTTGTAATTAGAAGGAGATGGCATGTTTTTCTGCTGTGGCAAAGTAGTTGTTGCAAGCAGTTGTTACTAAGCCAGGGTTTCAACTCCTAATGATCCAACACCAATTAATCTGCAAAAAGCACACTTGAGAACTGCATGTGTGAGGACAATCAGGTGTGTATGATCGCTGCAGAGTTTTGCCCAAAATCCATCCCCATCTTTTCTTGGGCCGTTCCTCCTGCCCTTGGCTATAAGGAGAGGGAATCTTAAAGGGAGAAAGGCAGAGAACCAGAAACCTCCCAACAGTCCGATCACCTCCATGAGTTCAAAACTATTCATATTTCATTCTTCCCTCCACAATGTGCCAGCTTCCCAATCGTTATAATTTATGCTCGCCTTTTCCTTGACACAAGTAGGATTTTGTGTCTAAACAGTGTTCCCTTTCGTACCAGTGTCCAGGAGATAAGTGGGATGGTTCAGCCAGAGTTTGCCTCAGCTCAGTGGTATGTAGGTAATGGCCGATCCGGCCTCCCCTTCACATTCTTTCCTGGTACTTCAGGGGAAAATAGGAGTAAGGAGATAAGGGGGAAGGGAAGCCCAGACCAGGATTTGCACTTTTCTGAAATGCCACGAAATCTTGCTGGCCCTGAGAAGGTCTCGGTGAGCATTTTTGGCACAGTGAGTCTATCAAAATGGCCAAAATGGGGAAATCCTGCAGGTGCTAGCCACACTGCCAGGGTCAAGCAATTTTCTATGTGCATTAGGTGGAACTATCATCACCGGGTTCAATTATTTGGTCCCAAGATTTTCATCTCATTCATGACAAACTATTCTTTAAATAAAAAGTCCTTTATCTTCTCTATAAGAAAATCAGTTCCTTTTAGGTG